TGGGAAATCGCCCCCAGGGGATATGGCTGCACTGTAATCTCTTCTTCTCCATTCTCCTTCTGGGATCTTGGGCAGGCACACAAACATGCCCAAGCATGAGTTTCCAACTACTGGGTCTGGGATGTGAACTGCGGTCAGCCATGTAGGAGTCCAGTGACATAACCACTATACTATTTGCTGATCCAGGGATATCTTATATATGCTGATTATTTTTCTTTCTGAAACTTAGTATATTTTGGTCCCATAATTTTTCCTATTAATTTGCAAGGATAAAATATTTTTGAAATAATGTTTATTTATATTGACCCTGTAAAACTTTTTTTTTATAATTACTATATTATTTTGTTTCAGTTTCAATAGTAATGGGAGTTCCCACAGTGAAGAGAGAAGTTAAGTCTTACCTCGTAGAAACTCTTCATTCCCTTATTGATAATCTGTATCCTGAAGAGAAGTTGGACTGTGTTATAGTAGTCTTCATAGGAGAGGTAATTATTTCACTGTTATTTTTTTTTACTCTATATAATCTATGAAAGTTGAAACCATAATGAGTATTTGAGTATCATTTATAAGCGTTTTTAAAGAATGTTATGAGTTAAAGATAACATACTTTATCTGATAGTTCAATGTGAGTCTAACTTGTTATATTTGCCTTCCTTTCTTTCCTGCAGCTTAAACCACAAACATTAATTTTTGTAATCAGTAAAATAATATTGTATCTATGGATCTTTAAGAAGGAGTTCCCATTTCCAGCTCTGAGATTTAAATGCAGAGATTCTAAATTCTTTTTTAAAGTTTATCTTATTCTTCCTTGAATGAGATGGACAGAGACAGAGAGAGATGCAGAGACAGACACTCCTCTCCCCCCCCCCCCCCCACACAGGGTCATCACATCATGATCCACTCCCAGGCTCAGCCAGCCCTAGGTCATGGGCGTGCATACACCTGTTGTGCACAGGGAGGGCTCTGGATGTGAACCCAGAACCTTCCCATTTAGGCCAGCCTGCCGTAGTGTGGTGTTACTACTGCACTGCCTTCTGGCCCAGAGGTTCCAAGTTCTTTGGGAGTCCTGAAACCTAAGAGAAAGATTTAGCCTAGGCTGAATTTTTCTTACTTCTTTACTCTCCTTGCTCCTTCACTGTACTCCCAAGATAAACAATCATTATTATTTTAAAAATAAAAAATCATGTAAATGAGAATGTCTTTTTTTTAATTTTTAATCTCCTTGAAATATCTAGAGAAAGAATAGATCTTGAGCAAGTTCTTCTTAAACCATGAGAAACAAGGCCCTTAAAGTAAATATTTTCCTAATTATCATATAGGATTTCAGAATAGGAGAGAATATAAGACATATCTAGTTCTAACCCACTGATTCGTGACTTTTCACTGTACCCTCATCTTTCTCTCTCTTTGAGATCTTTTACTATAGGATGCTTGCACATGGCGGAAAGACAGAGACAGAAAGCAAGAAATCACCCCCTGGCAGGAATGGCCATGCTGCAGTCCCTTCTCCTCCATTCTCCCCTTGGGATCTTGGGCACACACACATACGCACCCAGCACGAGTTTTAAGCCACTGGGTCCAGGACTTGAACCAGGGTTGACTATGTGGGTGTCCAGTGTTGTAACCATGATGCCATCTGCCGGTCCCCCCTTACTTCTTTGTAAATGAAAGTGGTCTTAATATTTTCCTTAGTGGAAAAGTAACAGTATCCATACCATTTAAAATACTCGTTTAAATATATGATGAAAAAATTACCTATTATTTTTCCATGCAGATATAACTATTACTATTTAAAAATATCTCTTAAGGAATTTTTTTCTATGTCTGGTATGCATATGTATGAATGGAATCATTCTATACATATTTTAATATCATGAATTTTTTCCATTGGAAAAGAATAAATACCAGAGTATCAATTTTTATGACTGCAGAATATTCCATTGTATGGCCTCAGCATAATTTATTTAATATCTGCACTTTTAGGTCATTTCTGAGTTTTTGCTATTAGCTGCATGGAACATTTCTGTAAATAAATTGTGCATATGTAGTTACTGACTTGATATTAATTTCCAAGCATAGAATTACTGGATCAGGGTCCATATACATTAAAACAGTCATACATGCATACATGCCAAAGTGCCCTGAAGTTGAGTCCGTTTACCCCTCTTCCAGTGGTCTGTGAGAGAGTTTCCTTGTTCTTATAGGTAACACTTGTCTTTAATTTTTTTGCTAATTTAATAGGTAAAATAGAGTATCTTGCTTTTGTTTGATTTGAATGTCTTTATTAAGGAGTATTAAACATTTGTTTATGTGTTTTTTGACCATTTCTGCTTAGTTATTTTCATGACTTTTGCCCATTTTTTCTAGTTGTAATTTTTGATTTGTAAGACATTTTGATATTTGAGGGAAATAAACTCTGAAATAGTTTGTCCAGTTTGTTGTTACTAACTTTGCTGATAATTTTTTTTTTGCCTTTTATAGAAGTTATCCATTATTTTTTTTAAGGTTTTTAAGATTTTTGCCATGGGGCACGTTCACTTGCAGAGAGGAGAGAGAGACAGACAGTGAGAGGGAAATAAGAAATCACCCCTCAGGGGGAGAGCCACACTGCAGTCTCGTCTTCTCCATTCCCCTCTTGGGATTTTGGTCATGCCTGGCATTATTTTTAGGTTTTCAGGAGCAGTACTCAAACCTTAGTCAGCCATGTGGGAGTCCAGTGCCTTAACCACTACACTTCCTGCTGGCCCAGAAGTTATACATTTTAAGTAGTCAGATCTGTTAGTTGCATATTGTATACCAGTAGAAGTGGGCGTAGCTTCTTTGGAAAATCGCTTGACAATAGCCACAGTATTAAAGTATACATCGTGAGCCAACATTCTATTTCTGAAAACTGACCCAGTAGAAGTTTTGCAAAGACAGACATATGTTAAAAAATATAGACACATTTATATAGCTTCCACATGTGCATTAATAAAATATATAAGGAAAATGGTTTCATGAAATATACTCTAAACTGTTAGTAGTAGGTAGTAGATATCTTGAGAGCTAGAATTATGCGGTGTTATCACTCTGTTACATACAGTTTTGTAAAATCAGAATTTTTTTTTTGAGAGGCTTTTTTTTTTCTTTTTTTTCTTTTTTTTTTTTTTTTTTGCTATAGGGCACATGCACTTGCCAGAGAGACAGAGATAGAAAGCAAGAAATCACCCCCACCCCCACCCCGGGGGGGGGGGGGGGATGGCCACACTGCAGTCTTTTCTCCTCCATTCTCCTCTTGGGATCTTGGGCACGCGTGTACAGGCACCCGGCGTGAGTTTAAGCCCCTGGATCCAGGACTCAAACTGTGATCGACCACATGGGAGTCCAGTGACATACCCATTATGCCAACTGCTGGTCCCATAAAATTAGAACTTTTCTACAATGAACATACTTTGATTTTTAATTTTATAAAAGCCTTAGAAGTTCTGTAAAAGAAAACTGTCCTTGGGGACTAGCAGGTGGCATTGAGGTTAAGGCAGTTGGATCCCCCAGTGCCAACTCCTCAGTTCAAGTCTCAGACCCAGTGGCTTGAAAATCATGCCAGGTGCATGTGTATGCATGCCCACAGTCCAAAGACAAGAGCAAATAAGAGGGGATTTTGGTGTGACTATTTGTCCGGGGTGATTTCTCACTTTCCCTCTCTCTCCAAGGAGCACATGTACCCTATAGCAAAAATGAAAAAGAAAAAGGGGAAAAAAAAAAAACTATCCTTGTTCTCTTGAAAAATAGCATTTGGCCTGTAGACTGGGATTATTATATATCTGGATTCAAGACCCTACATAGCCATTCATCTGGTACTAAGAGCAAAAACCCTGGGTTTAGAAGCAGAGGACCTGTGTCCGAGGCTGGATTCTGCCACTTACTGCCACTTGAGCAGGTTGTTTGCTCTCTCCAGCCTCAGTTTCTTCATCTCTGCAATGAGAATAAAGCTACTGACCCCACAAGCTCAGCATCATTGCAGGGAAACTCATTGAGATCATATATGTGGAAGGTGGTGTAAATTGAAAATGTGATACAGGTGTCAGCAGTGTTCCCATTTCTGGGCAGTGCTCTCCTGAATTGTGGTACATGTCTATGGTCTACAAAGAATTTCGTTTAAAAAGTGTTTTCTGGAGCCAGCAGATGGCGTAGCAATTATGTTGCTGAACTCCCACATGGTCAACCACTGTTCGAGTCTTGGACCTGGCAGCTTGAAACTTATGCTGGGCCTTTATGTGCACATGCCTAAGATCCCAAGAGGAGAATGGAGGAGAAGGGATTGTGGCTTGGCCATCCCCCTAGGGGGTGATTTCTCACTTTGCCTCTCACTGTCTCTGTCTTCTCTCCAGTGAGTGCGTGTGCCCTATGGCAAAAACCTCTCAAAAAAAAAAAAAAGTTTTCTGAACAGAATTAAAGGATGAATTATCTTTAGGCAATTAAAAATGAATCACGATGTTTGTTTATACCTCAAGTGGTAGTTTCACCCAAGCATTCTGGTAGACTGTGACCCATTTAACACTAGTAACAAGTGCAGAGTCTCTGGGTTTAACCATGACCCACATATGGGACAGTCCTAGACATAGATATTTAGCCTCTTCTCGAGCCTGTGTTTCTACCTACCTACATGTTAGAAGAACGTTATTCTACATGATAACATTATTTGCATGTTTTAGGGAAACTGTTTTTTTTTTTCTTTTCGCTTAAAAATTTTCTTTTAAAGTTTATTTCTTTAATTCATGAGAGAGAGAGGTTGACAGATATCCCAGCAGAGCCCTCATGTTCTAGTCCTCCCCCAGCCTCAGCCAGCCCTAGATCATGAGCAGTATGTTCAGGGAGGTGTCTGGATGTGAACCTAGAACCTCTCATGTGGGTCAGCCTTGCAGAATGTTGCGTTCTTCCAACACTCCCCCCACCTGATCCATCTCTGATCCATTTTAATATGTTAGGAGAAAATTTTAGATGAAAGAGCTGGAGAAGAAGAATATGGACAGTCAGGGGTTCCATGATCTTTTCTTCGGTGCCTGACTTTTCTATTCTTTGTCTTCCTTTGTTTTCTTGAATGGGAGGAACCACAAAATATCCTTTTGGGAGAAGAGGAGAGATAGGAAACTAACTATTTTATATTATATTATACACACACACACACACATATCCATAATACACACTCATAGTTTTTGCCACAGGCGTGTGCAGGCTCTCTAGGGAGACAGAGAGGGGCTGGGGAAGTAGAAGTCACTCCCAGGGAAATAGCCACACCCCTGTTCCTTCTCCTCCTCTCTCCTCTCAGGGTGTTCCTCTCCTCTCTTTTGTCCCCTCCCCTCATGATTTTCAAGCCATTGGGTCCAGGAATCTTAACCATTCACGTGGTCATAGGAGATCCAGCTGCCTTAACCACCACATACCCGCAGGACTCGAATTTTAACATCGTGCCATTCCTGTTTTTTTTTTTTGTTTTTTTTTTTTTTAA